TTGTATTTCTTCTTTAGAGTTCTTATACTAGGGAGACTATACGATATTTACACATGTGTGTCTGGTTTATTTCACTTATGAGTATATGTTCAAGTGGCCTTCCTGTTTGTAGCCTACATAGCCTCTCTTTTGGACTAGCTCTTTTCACTGCCCTTTGCTATCCTTGGCAGCCATTCTGTTTTCTTGGAATCTGCACCTTCTTGGATCTCCAGTGTGCCTTTGGCTTCATTCTCACATCTTCATGCATTGCTCTCTCTAGGGCTCCTTTACAGGGCTATTAGGCCTTCTAAAATCTGGGTGGAAGCCCTGTGACACCATTACTGTTGTATTCTGCATGCATGTCATATGAATGATACCAAGATCTGCCACCAGGGTCAGCAGTAGTGAGGCTCCATGGACCATGGCTCCAGTGACATCTTGAATGCCTGGATGGTTTAATTCTGGATGGGTACATTTAGGGCATTAATTCCTTAGGTTGCTGAGAGTGAACCGGGTGCTCTGAAGCTCTTTTGTCAGAGCAGTCTTTCTAAGTTCACCTCTTTCTACCATTGAGTCTGTATTAGTTAAAATCTGGCCAATTTCTGAGATGTCTTTAGGTTATTTTTCCTATTGACCTTATATGTATGTGATTTATTTTTAATGCTAATATTTATGGTAATTCCAGTCTCCTTTGCCCTAATATTTTGCTCCTGATTTGCACTATAAATCTTACTGAAAGCAGCCAGGGGTATCCATGCCTGTTATGGTTTGTGTCTAGATATCCTCCAAAGCCTCATGTGGTCATGGCACGGGGTATTTTCAGAGATAGCTAAATTTAGACTTTGTGATATATGCATTGTCTAGTACTGGGATTGGTGGTGTGAGTGCTGTACCCATCCTGGGTGGGTAACCTACATACAATATGAGGGAGGAAAAGAGGCTTGCTCCCTGATTTTGACCCTTTTTGTCCCCTTTTGCTCTTGTTGCTTGAACTAGTGCTCCCTGTCATGTGTCACCCTGCTGATTCTCAAACCTCTATAGACTGTGAGCTAAATACACTTTTCCTTCCTTAATTCTGTGTGTCGGCATTTTGTCCTAGCAACAAGAAAAAAGTAACTAAGATAGTGTGATAGCCTGAATGTTGAGCTACCTTGAAATTTCCTTTACCAGATTAGTCCTTTATTTCAAAATTCGTCCTCTGGGCTGGGAAGGTAACTCAGTGGCATAAGTGCCTGCCTGGAAAACACAAGGTCCTGAGTTCAATTTCTGGTACCACATGCCATGCTGGCCCCAGAGTCCTGGGTGTGACACCGGCCTGGAACCCAGCACTAGGGATGATGAGACAGGAAGATCACTGGGAGTCTGAACTGCATAACGACACCACACACACACACACACACACACACACACACACAATTAGCCTCACACAGTCTTAGAACACTGGCAAAAGTGATAGAAAATTGCAGACACTAGAATTCAGAAAATTTTATTTCACATGAGTGTATTAAATGCATGTGTACAACACACGATGCATTGAATTACAGAGATTCATACTAGACTCAACCGTGTCTGTTCATTATCAAGTGCACATATTATTTATGTATTGTGCCTGTACGTTGATTGGTCATTCAGTGATAAGTCTGGAGTTTATCTGTTTACATGGGTATATACCTTTCCTTCAAAGGTGCCTGCTTGGGTATGTATAAATATTTAGTGATAATTTGTGTTGTCTTTTATTTTGAGTATTAATGTCAACACTAATATTTAATTATAAATTAATATTATTATTTTATAATTCAGTGTGTCTGTCATTGGACCCACTAAATGTGTCCATCTGGAGGATAAATAATTGGGGCTTGTTTTTGGAATAAGGCTTCTATTATGTTAGGTGCATCCTGAAAAATCATGCAAAGGCTTATCTTCCAGTTAGGTTTTGTTTTGGGGAAATATGTTATTAGCTACTTAGGTTGTACCCTGCTTAGATTATAATTTAGTTCTTAAAACATCAATCCACGACTTATTTTTTAAATAAATCTCTTAGTGCTTACCATTATTTATTCAGTTTTTGTTCAGGTCTTTTTACATTTGAGTTTCAGAAGGTAACATTTTTTACCATGTTTTCCAGCTCTGAAGCTTTCCTAATGTATAGTCTCTTATACATTAATGACTTAATTTCAGTTGTATTGGGCACTGTTCTTTTAAGATATTAATATACTACATGCATTGAGTGTTTTATGGGCATATCCACTTCCAAGATGTTTTCTTGTGGCTTTCATGTGTGTAATTAGTCTGAAATTCTCATTAGGGGCAGTCTTCAAGTGATTGTTTTCTATGGGAGAGATGGGAAATCTACTCTTCTCCTATTAGTAATATTGAGGAGATTTTTGGACTCCCACAGTAACATTCCCTCAATACTCTCAGCTCTCAGTCTTTGTCATAACAAACACAGATGCCTCCTCAACTTCAAACACACATGCCTCACAACCTACACACAGCTTGGTGCCTGGGCTATCACCTTGGTTTATTTTGCTCAAAGCACAAGTCTGACCCTTTGTTTATTACCTTTGAGATCCAAAATAAATTTAAGATTCTCATTTGGTCATTTTATTTCATTTGAGGCCCTGCACAATAGTCCTAAATCTACCTTCTGTGAGTCAGATGGCTTAGCTATGAAAGAAAATGCTTGAAATACATGATAATATATTTAAAAGTATCTTGAGTGTTTTTGTTTTGTCTTTTTGAGACCTGGTCTTGCTCTTAGCTCAGGCTGGCCTTGAGCTCACTTGTAGCCTGTGTTGCTCTCCAACCTGCAACCGTCCTGCTGCCTCAGCCTCCCTAGTGCTGGGATTACAGGTGTGCGCCTCCAGGCCTGGCTTTAGTATCTCAAATTTGGTTTCTTCTTTCAGACCCTTTCTTTTATTTTCTTAATGTTGAGGTTTAATAACCATTGTGATAACTTGAAATATATTTTTTATATTACGATTTTGAAGGATTCTTAAAAGAGAAAAATTAAAGTACTCAAAAGCAAAAATCCCTAAAAATATAGTATCCATTAATATCTTTACTGCTCAAATAATTGAAATAACTTATATTTAATTTATTCTCTTATAGTATTGTGCTTCTGCTAAGCCAAAAACAGACACTTGAAGAATTGAAACAATCGGTCCAGCAGCTGAGATGCACTGAGGCAAAGTTTGCAGCACAGAAAGAATTATTAGAGCAAAAAGTGCAAGAAAATGATGGAAAAGAGCCACCTCCAGTAGTAAACTATGAAGAAGATGCACGATCAGTTACATCTATGGTAAGCTAAAGAGCAATCCGATGAGAAACTTGAAAGAGTAGTACTTAGGTTATTAGTGAATACAAAAAATTAATTCTGGTTTGCTATAACAAATTATCACTCTTGTTAAATGCAGGTCCTATTAAACTTGTTTGTAAATGCAAAATAGACTTGTCAGTCACCTCAGGTCACCGGGAGAGCACTTTAAGGAACCACCCGTAGAGTCAGAGGAAAAAAAGCTCTTCTCTTACCTTCAAAACTGAAAAGAAAGACGGCAATTGTTTTTATTCCTGGGAAACAGCAGGAAGGTAGGGTGTTACTCTTAAGATAGAAGTAAGACATAAGGAGAAAGCTATTTAATTTTTTTTTCATTTTAAGAACAATAGAGTCTTAGATTGATGGTGTATTGTTTTCACCATACAAAATATTGACTTAGTTTTTAAAAGATGTTTTGCCTATAAATAAGACCTTAGTGCATTAGAAATCACCATTTCAAGATTTAAGTTATATGGTGTTAATTAACTGTTTAAGAATGCATAGTATAAGTCCTTTTTTCTGATTTCTCTTTTTCTTTTCTCCCTACTTCTTTTCCTTTCTCCTTCCTACCCTTCCTTTCATCTCTCTCTCTTTGTATGTGAAAGGTCTCATTAAAGAACAATTTTGCCCAGCCTCAGAGTGGACAGTATCTCCAGTTACAACTGGTGGATGCATAGCTGTCCAGAGTCCAGTGCATTGAACAGCTCCTCCACCACATCCCCACGGAAAGATTATCACCACCCAAATGCCAGTAGTGCTGTGATGGAGGTCTGAGCTGTTTTCGTGGTTTGCTGGATGTATTCCATAGATAGAAATAATATGGTTCATTAATTTATAGTCGATACTTTAGTATTATTTAGTTAATGTAGTTCTGAGTATTATAATTTGTTAAACAGATATAGATATCTTCATGGGTAAAAAAGCTATACTGTATATGAAACTGCCGTGAATGTGGAAATAGCTATAAAATAGTAGATATTACAGTTATTGCCTCTTTTTGTTATTAGTTGAGCCATGCTAATCAACAAACACATCACTGTAATTCCTTGTCCTCTGGTACTCCTATAAGGATCTTAGTTTTGGGACTTTGTTAGATTTTCTTTCTTGCTTTTTTTTTTTTGGTTTTGTTTATTTATTTTGATGATACTTGGCATTGAATTCAGGGCCATTGTAGCTACATCTCCACCCTTTTTATTTTATTATTTTTTTTTTGTTTTGAGACAAGTCTCACCAAGTTCCCCATACTGGCCTTGGATTTGTAGTACTCTTGGGTTGGAGTGTGCTGCCATGCCTACCATGCTACCATGACACCAGTATACTAAGTACCATAGTATTTTATGATTCTTGATGTCTGACATATTCATTTTTTTGTAGGAGCATTACTTTTTTTTTTTTTTTCTTCTTAGCTTATTGTTATTGTTGTTCTCAGAGTTGAACTCAGGACCTTGTGCTTGGCAGGCAGGCACTGGTGCCACTGAGCTACATAACTGGCTCAACTTCACTTTTTTAAACAATTTTTAAAATTGTGTATTTGGTACAGGGTCTCACTAATGAAGAGACTGGTGGTGATCCTCCTGTTTTCAGCCTCCTCGGTGCTGGGATTATAGGCATGCTCCACCACGCCCCGACTCTGTTGCCAGCTCAGTGTGCCCTGAGGGTGGGGCTGGCACACCATGTGGGACTGGGGATCAAACCCTGATCCCTGTGCTTGCCAAAGCAGGTGCTTAGTCTGCTGTGCTATCTTGCCAGCCCCTCTACTTTGCTTTTTGAAAACCTCAAATCTTTTATTTTTTCAGGGTACTTTATAAAGCATTCTCATGTTTCCAGGAGGGTGTAGAATTAGTTAGTTAATTAGTTAATAACTTGATTTAATGACAAATTGGTTAACACTGGGTAATTTGATTTTATGTGCATGTAAGCCCTGTGTACAGCATCACAACACAATAAAAGATAGTTATCAAGTTGCTAGATAACACCTCTTCCCACTTGATAATGGTGATTAAAAAACTTGGCTTTCAATTTTTTCTTTTTCAGATCACTTTCTTTATTAGTACATGCTTGCAGTACATTGGATTCCTTGTGTAGAGTCCATCCATGTGCACACCACATCTTAATTGCTTTTCTCATCCCTTTTTCCTACCCTCCTTCCCACCTCCATCCACCTCTTGATCCTCTTTTTTTTTTCTGAAGGTTTGCTGTACATAATGTTTACATTCCAATAGTTAATTCTTACTAAGAATTTGTGATCATGTGGATTTTAATCTTTCATAATCATTGAATAAAGGCTTTGATCACTGCATGAATAAATTATTTCAGATATAATGTATAATAAAGCTTAGAAGAATAATCTACCTTTTGAGACCTCCAAGCTCTTCTTTCATACCAATTTAAGTGGTGATAAACATCTTAATTTTTACAAAGTGGTATTATATATTTAATCCTATTCAATTTATTTTAAATAACTAAAATAGGTATTACAGATGTATCTTATCTATTAGTTGGAGTAATGCCCCTACGTCTTGAATGAAAAATTAAAATTTACTGTCTTTGTTAAATATGCCAGTTTTATAAAGGAATACTATATGTTTAAAATAGTAAGTTAAAGTAAGTTAATATTTTATAAATGAGATAAGACATCTGTCAAATTGTTACATGTATTTTACACTTACAAAGAAAGTAGGATAAACAACATTCAGAAGGTGACATATGAACAAAGACTTAAAAAACAGGTTGCTACTATACCACTTTGCTCTCTGGAGAAAGGTCATTAGCACAGGGTGCAGGCACTGCAAAGAATTATGGGACATGCTTAGACTGTGCCATTATAGCAAGCAGAAGTGAGGGAGAGAGAATGGAGCATAGGGTATGTGGTTAGACAACAAATAATATATCTTGAGGCCTTATGGACCACAATTAAAGATTGTGTATTTTCTCTGAAATAGGATATTATTATTGCCATGGAGCTTTAGAGGAATAATATGCTCTGACTTTGGATTTAAAGGGACCACTGTGGCAAATGTGTTGAGAATAATATATTTAAGGGGAGAAAGGATGGAGGAATGAGACTATTGGAATGACACAATAGTACAAGAAGTGTTTAAATTCTTGGTGTATTTTTTTTTGTTTTTGTTTTTTAATTTATCTATTTGGTACAGGGTCTTGCTACACAACTCAAACTCATAGTGATCCTCCTGTTTCAGTCTCCCCAGCCCTAGGATTATAAGCATGTGCCACCACGCCCAGTTTTGGTGACCTGCTCAGAGTGGGACCGGCACAGCATGTAGTACCAGGGATCTAACCTGGGTCCTTGTGCTTGCCAGGCAGGTGTTTATACTGCTGAGCTATCTCCCTGGCCACTGCATGTATTTTGAAGGTTGAGCCAATGATATTTCTTCTGATAGTGGAATATGAAAGGAATCCTAGATGACAGTCAGGTTGTTAGCCACTGTTTTGGAGGAATGGAATTTGTTTTGAGTGAAATAGACTATAGCTGAAGCAATTTTGATAAGGAAGATGAAGACTTTAGTTAATATTCCTTAAAAGATACAACAATAAAAATTTAGATATTTGGGTGTGGAGACTAGGAACATGATTTGGACTACAGATATGAATTTGAGAGTTGCAGTTACCTGATGGTATTTAAAATTGTACAAGGTACAGATGGTGTTTGACTACAAGGTGACTGAGTGAGAGAGGCTGGAGGAGAGAAGAGAAACAAAGGCTGAAGTTTGGGCCACCTCAATTATGAGTTCTAGAAGAGGGGGAAATACTAGAGAGACTAAGGAAAATGTAGTGGAGAAGAAAATCAAGACAATCAGGTCGTCTTGGGGGCCAGGGAGATAGCTCAGTGGAAGAAGTGCTTGCCTGGTAAGCGCAAGGGCCTGAGTTCGATCCCTGGTACCGTAAAATAAAAACAAAAACAAACAACAAAAAAACCCAATCAGGTCAGCTTGAAGCCCCTTGTAGAAAATATTTCAAGGCAGAGGAAATTGTTGTTGACGAATGTTATAAAGGGAGAGCAGGTAACTGAGCACTCAAAGTCATTGATGAGAATCAGTACAGTGGTGATGATAAAGCCCTGTTTTGGCTGGGCCTAAGAGAAGGAAAAGAGAGGGACTGTGTAGGGTAGGCAGAGACAAAAAATAGGGTAGGAAATTTGGGATTGTTGAATATTAAAAAAAAAAAAAAGCAGAAATCTTCTGGCTGTGTTGCATGTATTTAAAGCCATGGTTCTACTATATATGCTCGATAAATCAAGTCAGAGGGGAAGAGCACAAGGTTCGTGTAAGAGAGCAATTGTGATGGCTGGCTAGAAAATTTAAGCTGTGCAAGGGAAAAAATAAAATGCTGCATGGGGAGTGGTGGTTTTAAGTGGAAGGATCAGTTCACTGGAGACCCAGAGTAGGCGCAAGGCAAGTTATAAACACCCAAGTATAACACTCTGATTGCCAGTGTTTATCTTTTAGATGTTAGTTAAAATTTAAGAAAAAATAGCTTTTGGAAAATACGTTGTTAAATCATTTGATAACAACATGATAAATTAGATAATTAAATCTTATGTTTTTTAAATTTACTGTCATTTCTTTTCATCAGTGATTGGATTAGCAGAATCAGTAATGAAGTGAAACATCTTTAATGATAAAACTACAAAAGTATATAATGACTATTAAGCTTCCTGCAGTCTTGGGGTTGCCTCTGGAGTTTGTGATTGATTACTGTGGGTGTGGATGCTGCACCTGCCTTGAGGCAGGTGATTTGCATTATAGTGTGAAGCGGGAAGGGGGGCTAGCTGCTGGAGCTGCTGGTCCTCCTTTTGTGCTCCTGCTCTTTGCCTCTGCTGAAAAGTTGCGTTCTGCCATCTGCCGCTCTGCCTGGGACCCAGCTGAACGGACTGAAACCTCCAGTACCTGGGAGCTAAATAAACCATTTTTCCTTCATTTTGAGTGTCGGGTATTTGTCTCAGCAACGAGAGAAGAGTAACTGAG